ATCTTTACCTCTCCCACCCCATCTGCTGATGGCAGCGTGGCTATTTTTTAATTACTTTTCAAATGAATTTTAATAATCTGTTCGGTTCTGCTTCTGGCTCCTGCCTGGAGCTTCTGGGCGCATTGCAGCCCATGCTGGTTCCCCCCCCAACACCCAGCCCTATGGAATGTCTGACTTGAGCTGCACTTCCCAGGTTTTCCACTGATTTCAGGGCTGACTGGCATCACGGATACAAATATATTTATTTTACCTCATACAAGTGCTTGAAATCCCTGACCCTGGGATGGAAAGCGCTTTGTCTTCGCATCAGTTTTCTCTTGTGATTGATCTTCAGTGTAACATGGGCCGTGAGGTAGACACTTCAGCAAAACAGGATAATTTTGGGGTAATTTTGTGTGATATTGGTCCATTTTCATTGCTTAGTTACAGGCACATGGGTTGCCTGGATCTGCAGTTGCTAACGTGGCGTCCCCCCGGACTCGGCTGCGTGGTTTTGAAGCTGCCTGACGGGGGGAGTTAAGGACAAACACAAGATATTTCTGTGAGTTACCTCCTCCTCCTGCTGCCATGCTTGAAGCATCGTCCCTGGAGGTAGTTAAAAGACGTGTAGAAGAGGTGCTGAGGGACATGGTTTAGTGGTGACCTGGCAGTGCTGGGTTAATGGTTGGACTCGATGATCTGAAAGGTCTTTTCCAGCTGAAAGGATTCTGGGGTCCTGTGCTGGTTGTGATTAGGATTCTGTGCTGTACTTTCCACCTGAAGTTTTTTAAAGCATTTTACAAAGGGATGGTCCATGTGAAAGTTGATTCATCAGTTCCAGTTTTTCCCTCTTGTCCTGTGTTCTACCCAAATGCATCTACGGCTCCCCTGGTATAAAACAAAGCATGATCCGCTTGAATAACTGTCCAAACCCCAACTTTATCTGCATGGCAGCAGCTTTCCTAAGAAAACTGACACTGGCATAAAATCTGGTAGGAGATGGGACGTGCAGACCTCTGGAGAGGAGCTTTTCTGGAGGCTCAACGCTGGTCGTTGAAGTGGCTCCAACCACAGGAGCTTGCACGGTCTGAGACTTGAATTTCTAAACTGATGGGACTTTCAGCAGCAATCTGGGTGATGCTGGCAAACAGAAAGTAGTGTTTCTTTTCTTAGAAATGGTAGAGACATCGAGTCAGGCTGAACGTTGCATCTGCTCAACAAGTCTGTGTGCTAAATTTCATACGGCGAGGCTTGAACCGAATTCTCCGCTTTTTATTTCACGCCGGTGAGTCACCCAATCAATCCAAATTAATCTGAATTTATTGCAGACTGGGGCAGACCACAGAACTTTCCGGAGGGGAGGGAAGGTGACTGTTTTATATTTGCCTTTTGGGCATAATTTTTTGGTTTTACTAAGTTGAATACGTGACAGAAACCTGCAATTTTGGTCTTTATCTTGCAATGTGAACTTGAGGGCTGGGCTGGGTGTCTGCAAAGGGCCCAAGTGGCATCACCAGAACCAAAGAACCAACCCAGCTGGTTGTGTCAGTGCCACGTCAAGGGACTCCTCGTGCTCCTGCTTTTTGGACAAAAAGTTGAAGTATGTTTTACGTACTCTGGGGAAGAGTTTTCAAATGAGCTTTTTGCTGCTCCTGCTGCAGTCGAAAACTTCATCCAGGCTTTCCATCCATCAGGCATTTTATTTCTAGCCTGTGTGTGTGCAGCTTATACCCACTTTTTTTTTAAGCCACCAGTTTTATAAGCCAGTGTTGTCTTATTTAATTTTCAGCAGCTTTTCACGCCTTGGTGTTTCTCCCTGGCAGACTGACAGCAAATGTCCATGTACTCTCCACTTTAGGAGACTTAAAAGCAAGAGATGTTTCAGCCTTCCCTGAGAAAACCACCTCTCCTTCCCTTGGCTCTTTAGAGCAAGCCCTGTTACTGGGTTTCACCCTGAATTTAGGACTAGAAACCTTCCCCACCAGCAGCTGGGCTGACAAGACCCAGCTCATACAGAGTGTATGATCTTTTGCAAGCTTATTCATTCTTCCCATCCAAAAAAAAAAACCCCAAAGTGTGTCTCTTTGATTGCTAAATATACCTGAGGCCGTGGAGGAGCAGCCTGTTTGGGAAGGCTGCTTCTCCTCACAGCAGAGGTGCTGTGCTGCAGAGATAACAACTTTATTATCCAGCCCCCAGCAGGTTCTTTTCCCTGGAATTGCTTCTCCCAAGTGGCTGGTTTGCAGGGCTGTGGGGCTTGGGGAGGGCTCGCTGCCTTCCTTGTGCAAGGAGAAGCTGCTGCCAGCATGAAAAGGGGGGAAAAAAAGGTACAAAAGAAGCCCAGAGAAGCGTGTGAATCAGACAGACACTGCTGCCTGAACTGCACTCCTGAAGCTAGGTGGGGACCTGTTTTCTCCCCGGGTTTGAGTTTAGCAGCTTGAAAGCAGGGCTGATAGCAGGTCCTCAGCTCTGGGAGTCCTGATAAGCACAGCCCTTGGTGGCTCGGGTCTGTTTGTTCTCCTCTCCCATCTCCCCAAGGTGGAGAGCAGGGAAGGAGTGTTCAGCCTTCCAAATCTTTTATTTCTCTCCCTCTAGCCGTGAGTTCGTGCCTCCAGCCTTCTGTTGGCACCAAGCTGCTCGTGGGCTCCTTGGGAGAGGAGGATTTGTACCAAAAGGCAGGATTGCCAGGCACTTGGGGGGCTGAACACAACGACCCTGGGCTGGGGTTGTGCTTGTGAGCTGGTGCCTGTGGGAGCTTTTTCTGTGGAGGACAGCGTGGTGGAGGTGGGATGTGGGTGTCCTGCTCAGCAGCCCCTCAAGTAACCCCCTTTGGTGCTCATGAGGAGTGGGGGGCTTGGGAGCAGCCCCAGTTTGCTGCTGCAGAAATAAAAGTGGCTCTAGAAGGGACAGGGTGGCCTGTCCCACAACATAAACTAGGTCACTGTTGTCTGGTGCCTTCAGCTCTGCCTTGCCTTTATTTGAAGGAAAACAAAACCAAGCCATCCCGTCACCCCAAACTAACCAGCAGTGTTGTAGCCCTTTGTATGATGAATTTTGGTCAACTTCCCTTAGTTGCCTCTTGCAGATGCTTTGGAGATGATCCACAGCTCATCGTTTCCATGGGGGATGTTGAGCTAGGGAAAAATGATGTGAGAAACCACATGGTTTTGATCAGGCTCCATCTCCAACGTCCTGGCTACAGCTCAGGGTGCTGCTCCTGCACCTCTGGTTTGGGTCCATGGGGATCTGGGCATGTTGTTAACCCAAAGCTGCCCATTCCAGCTGCTTCTGAAAGTACTGCAACAAATTTTACAGGGAGAGGCACCCAAGGGGTCCTGCCAGCAGGAGTAGGGCAGGGATCATCCCCCTGGGCTTGGCACTGGGGAGGCCATACCTTGAATCCTGGGGTCAGTTTTGGGGATCTCATTCCAAGAAGCACCTTGAGGGGCTCGAGGATGGCCAGAGAAGGGCAACAAAACTAGGGAAGGGTCTAGAGCACAGGTCTTGTGAGGAGCAGCTGAGGGTGCTGAGTCTGGAGCAAAGGAGGCTCAGGGGAGACCTTCTGGCTCTGCACAGCTCCTGACAGGAGCCTGGAGCCAGGTGGGGTCCCTTCTCCTAAGGAGCAGATGGTAGGACAGGAGGAAATGGCCTCAAAATTGGATATTAGGAAAAATATCTCTTCCCTGAAAGGGTTGTCAGGACCTGTCCCAGGCTGCCCAGGGCAGTGGTGGAGTCCCCATCCCTGGAGGGGTTTCCAAGCCGTGGAGATGTGGTGCTGAGGTTTAGTGAGGACCTGGCAGTGCGGGGGCAATGGTTGGACTTGAAGGTCTCCCCCAACCAAAATGGTTCTTTGATCCTATGGCAAAGTGCAAAGCCCTTTGGTGCTGGCTCCCTCCTGGCAGGGACACAGCAGCATCGTGCTCGAGGGGCTGGCTGGAGCACAAAACTCTGGGAGTGGACCCCAAACCTCCCCCCAGCATCCTTGGTCACACGGGCTGCTGTTTTCTATCAGCTGTTATCAATATTCATTTAATTATTTGTAATTTATTATTGTTGTTGTTATGATTTAATTTTTATCTAGATTTCCCCCTCTACATCTCTGTCTCCTCTCCCCCTGGTCCACAGTGGCTGTACCAATACTTCAGTTGCAGAAAGGGAGGTTCAGATGAGGTGGTAGAAAAGCTTCCTGCCCAGCAGAGCAAGGACTTGCCTTTGGCAAGTGCCAGAATCTCCATCTCCAGCTCTCGGGGCAGAAGAAGAAGTTTATTGAAAATAAAAATAAATAAAAATAATCTGTACGTAAAGATAATCTGACCCCTGGGAACAGGAATGGGCTAAAGGATCTGTCCCAGATCCAGCAGGCTCTTTTCTGGGATATTTATAGGATGCTTTGTGTTTTAAAGGAAGAAACTGAAGCCAAATCACACTGAGGGTTATTAAATGTTTGCTGCTGTTGGTGGAAGAGTCTGTCGGGGGAAGAGCTGGGGCCTGAGCCAGCTCAGAGCTGAAAGAAAGGATAGGGAATTTAACATTTAAGGAATTCTGTGCTGCAGGGAAGTAGCTGGAGCTCTTCATACAGAAGTCTTGGCAGCTTTGGGTGCTTCCAAGTGCCTCCCCTTTGCCTGCTTTTTCTAGATATTAGAAAATAGCATCTGCTGGTGAGGGGTGATGATGGCAACGTGATGGTGAGGGGGCTGGGAATGAGTGAATCCGAGAGGGTCTGGCCTCTTTCTGCCAGTGTCCTGTTTGATGGGCAAAAGGGAACCCCCTGAATCTCCTCTGATTCCCTGTTGGAGGTTGGGCTTGGGTCTTCCTGGTGTGGGAACTACATGGACAGCTGCCAAGGGTGTCACCACCCCACGGTGCCAGAGCCCTCGAGCCTGCCCGGCTCTTTGGGGGTGCCAAGGCTGAGAGCACGTGGGGCTCGGGGGGCAGCAGCTTTCTGAGGGTGCTCTCTGAGTGCCCCCCGTGCTCAGGGGGCTGCCCTGGCTGCTCTGTTCCAGGCTGGGTGAGGCTGGGCCATGGCTCAGCTGGAGCTGCTGGTGGTGGCCGCGCTGCTGCTGCTCGGGGCTGCGGTCAGCCTCTGCGTCAGGTGCCAGCAAGGTAAGGTCCTGCCCCCGAGCTTTGGGGTCCTGCCCCCGAGCTTTGGGGTCCTGCCCCTGGCCCCAGACCGGGTTGGGGTGGGGGTCACGCTGGCCAGACCCTTTCCTCTTGGGGTGTCCCCTCCGGGTGGGTTTGGTTCTGCTCGTCCCTGTGCCAGCTCCAGGAGCTTTGCCCCTGTGGGGTTGCTCCCAGCAGCTTGAGCTGGGGAGGGTTTCTGTAGGGGGCTGGGGAGCAGCTGGGAGGGGAAGGACCCCCTGACCCTGCAGCACCCCTTCCTTGGGGTGGAGGCACCACCATGTGGGCTGCAGACCCCACATGGGGACCACAGTGGGTGGTTTTGGAGCACCCCACACCATCCAAGCACACAAATCCTCGGGGGGGGCTGTGGGGCATAGAGACTGGGGGATAAATTCATATATACATTAATTACAACAGTGGTGTGAGGACCTACCCTGGCGGGCTGAGCTCTGGGTGGGTTTCCCAGGGGTAGGGAGGCTGCAGTTGGGGGTTTTGGGGACAGCAGTGGCTGGCTGGCTCTGCAGCATCTGAGACAAATGCCACAACTGAGATGTGGCTTAGAAAGAAAGAAATTAAATCCCAATCCCAGCTGCTGCTTTCTCCCTCCACTGTCCTATCGTGCTGCCGGCCAGGGGAGTTTGGTGAATGGGTTTTATTGATCTTTCTGAACTTTAAGTCCCAAATATTTTTTCCCCCCTCCTTGTCTTCCAGCTGCCAAGCGAGAGAAGCAGCCGAGCGAGCAGAGGAGCCAGTAAGTTGCTTTTCACAACTGTGTTTCTCTCCCAAAACAGCTCACCCGGGTGAGACCCTGGCCAGGCCAGACCCACTCAGCCTCAGAGCTGAAATCTGGATTTCTATAAAATAAAATCCCCCCAGAATGGAGCGTGCAGGGCGGCGTGCCCCAGCCCGGGGTGATGCTTTCCCAAAGGAGAATCCAAAATCAAACCCAAGCTCTGGCAGCGATGCCTGCGAGTCACTAACCAGTTGGAAAAAGGGCTGGGAGATTGGGAGGGCAAGTCCTTATCCTGTCCTGAGATGAGGGAGAGAAGTTGGTAACTTCATAACCAAGCCCCTGCCCTGGGCTGGTGGTGGTGGGACCCTGCTCCTGAGCAAGCAGCGACCTGCAGCAGAAGCAGTGAAGGAAATGTGATTATACACACGCACCCCCCCCTTATTTCCTTCAGCAACAGACAAACCACAGCTAAATGATATATATGTATAAAACCCAGCTGGCTTGCAACCTTTGATACAGGAGAAAACGTGGTGCAAAGGGGCTCTGTGAAGGTCTTTGTGGGGCTGGGGTGTTGGTTCTGCCCCACGTGCCCAGCACCAGGAGAAAGGTTTTGGTGTGCTCCATCAGAGACTGGTGGAAAAGCCAGTGCAGGTTCCAGCCCCTCAGGCTCGTACCACAGCACCTCATCTTGGAATTTATACCTTGGAATTTGGTGGTTGGACTTCAGGCTCGTTGGGACCTCTTTCTAGAGACCCGTTTTGGGTTCGTTTGGGCTTTTTGTGAGCAAAGTGGTTGAGCTGTGTGTATGTGCAGCTTTGCCATGAGGTCCTTTGCCTGACTCCTCATGTCCCCACCACCCTGGTGCTGTGAATACCAGCTTGGGATGAGGGGTGACCTGAATGAAAGGGGAGGAGAGAGGGGAGGGACACTTTGAGGGTCCTAAACCCAGGGTTAGTGTCTGTGGGCACCCACAGCAGAAGGGCTCTTGAAACCTGTTGTGCTCTGGAGAGCAACTCTCCTCTTAATTAAAAAGTAAAGAGGTCACTGGGCACGTTTGCTGGTTTTATGATCACTTATGTTATTTTTTTTCAGGTGGGTGTTGAGGGATGTTGGGAGGGGCAGGGACAGCACTGGAGGTCAAGCAGTGGGGTTTGAAGCCAATTCAAGGGTTTTGTGGGTGAAAATGCTCTCCTGGCCTTATCTGGCTCATAAAGTGTCAGAATATCAGTGTCAGAATTACCCTCAGTGATGTTTTCCTCACCCCTGGGTCCTTCCCTTAGCTGATGTTGGCTGCTCTGCTGATGGTCCAGAGGCAGCCCTTGACTTCAAAGAGGGGCCTGGGAAACTCCTCCCAGCTCACAGGGGTGCTGCAGGGTGAGCTGAGTGATGCACCTCAGCACGTCCCCAAGCCCAGCGTGCAGGACCTGCTCTCTCCCCTCCACTCCCTAGACAAGGAGGTCTCTTGCCTCTATTTTCCTTGCCGTAGACCCCAAAATTGAGCTGAGGTCACCCCTCTCTTTTCTCCAGGCTCGAAAGGCAGCAGACATTCGAGGTGATTCGCTCCTGCTCCAGTGAGTCTGAAGATCCCAGGGGGGTCTGCAGGGCAGGGGGGGGCTGTGCTGGGGGAAAGGGACAATAAAAGGGTCACCTCGAAGCCAAGCGCCGAGGTCTGAGGTGGTCGAAGCCACCTTAGATGCTTCCAGGGATGCGAATCCTGAGCTCTAGGAAAGAAAGATCCCTTTGCACTGAAGAAAGGAAACCATTGCAGTGATGTCAGAGGACTGCAGCACTCTGCTCAGCCCCCAGCACAGCAGTGTGGGTGAGCCCAGATCGACAGGGTGACTCATCTGCCATCACCCCTAACTGCTTCCTGTGGCAGGTTGGGTGAGGTGCTGACCTTTTGGGTTTTTTACCCTGAAAGAAGCTGCTGACAGGGTCTATTAAATGTCACCAGCTGCAGATGGGCTCAGTGGGACACCTCCTTTCCCTGGGACCTCGCTGGGCCTGAGCCCCACAACCCCACTCTGAGGTTTTGCTTCAGCCCAGCCCGACCTAAGCTCACAACCTACCAATGTCTCACAGCCTGGAGGGGAGGGGTGCTGGGCGTGGGAAAGGCCCCCCCCAAATGGAGCAGGTTTGGGAAAGAATAGGCAATAAGGCAGCAGTTGGGGTTGTTGCCTCCTTCAGACCTATCTGCAGTCTGCACAGCAGCTTTTCCTCTGATTTTTTTCCCTGTTTTGGCCGTTTATGAGCTTTCAAGGAATGCTTTGGAAGCTATTTTGGGATGCATTAGAAAATTCCTTGCCAGTACTGGGGAATCCTCTCTGTGCTCATCGGAATTGCTGCTGCCATGATAATTAACATGTCACTTTGTTCTTGGTGCTAGCTGCAACACGAAGGCTGGAACAATTTAAGGAACCTAAAAATTATTCCATAGCAAGGTAGGTAAAGAAATCCAAACAGAATCTAGCTGTAGAGCCAAGCTTGGATGGAGTTCACCCAACACACCCGAAGGGTCAGGATTTGGGGCTGGGTTCTGGACCCTAGAGATGTGACGTGGGCAACACTTAGAACCTTGGAATGGTTTGGGTTGGAAGGGATCTTTGAAGGTCATCCAGTCCAACCCCTCTGCAGGGAGCAGGGACATCTGCAGCTAGAGCAGGTTGATTAATTCATTGATAGTCAATAGTGGGTTTAGAATTCTAGATTTTAGTCAGCCTGACTGCATTCTACTGGCCTGGCCACCATTTGAACTGAACCCAAGGAGATGGGCTGTAGCTGTCCATGATGGGTACTTCATGCAAAAGAAATGGCCATTCTTTGCTTGTAACCAGTTTGACATGAGAAATTCCCTTCTCCCCCACCACCAAAACCCCCAGGAACTACACATCTGCACCAACCCTGCTGCAGGATTCAGACACAGTTATTCCCATTGTTTGGTACCCCAGACTCTTCCTCTCCCCTTGCTCAGTGTGTGTCCTGCTCTAGCCCCTCAGGGAGGTTTCACAGATGGTCCTTCTGGCTTAGTCTTTGCTGTGCTTTGTAACCCCTGGCAGGGTTTGCTCAGAGCTGGGATTTTAGCTCCCTTTCCTCTCTTTCAGGAAAACCACTGAGGAGTTTGGTGCCTCCTGCCATGCTGGGTATGGTGAGTATCTCCCCAGCACAGGCACTGTTCAATGTTCTCCCCATCCACGCAGTCATGGGGAAAGCTCCTACCACAAAATTCATAAAATGGGGATGTTGCAAATCTCAGCTTGTTTGTGTAGGTGCTGGCTGGGACCTCCCACCAGTCTTGGGGAGATGGAGCCTCTGAGAGGCTGGTTACTCACTGCCAGACCTTGGGCAGGGCACGAGGGACTTATCTTGGAAAAAACTGGGCAATGGGTATGAGTTACTCCTGGGGAGATTCCATTAGACACAAGAGGAAAATTTTTCACAAGGACAATGAGCCGTCAGAATCATCTCCACAGGGAAGTGGTGGAGCCCTCAACATTAGATACTTTGAAGTTTTAGCCTGGTCACCTTGTCCAGACCAGGCTTTTGTCAAGGAAGGTTGGACCAGATGCTCTTTGAGGTCCTTTCCAACCTGGCATTCTGTGACTATGATGAAGTTCAGCTCCTGCTGCTCAGCCCCAGCGTGACGTGTCCCTCTGCTTTTCCCCAGGGAGCAGGATGGAGACCAGGTACCAGAACTTCCTGACAGGTAAATGCTGCAGCTGCACACCCAGGGGCCTGGGGTGAGGAGAGCTGGCAGGGAGCTCTGCCTGGGTTCATTAGGAGATGGGCCACGACACACTCATCTGATGAGCAGAGGGGCCAGGATGCTCCTGAGCCCCCCACTCCCTCCTGGGCAGCCTGAGCTGGAGCTCACCCTAAGAGGGTTCCCAGTGTGTGGGGCTGTGCTCTCCTTTCCCAAACCAGGGGAATATTCCCAACCTCCCTGCCAGCTGGCAGGATCTGTCTGTGGGAGGTGGTGAGCCCTGGTTTCCTCCAGAGCTGCCTCCCAGCTCTGCTCGTGGGTGGGCTTTGGAGCTGTGCTGGGGGGGACACCTGCTAGAGGTGGGAATTTGGCACAGCCCACCCCACAAAATCTGACACCAGCCCCTTTGTGCTTGCAGAGGACAGCCTGCAAGGGGACGCTGCCTACGTGTGAGTAGCTGGTTGCTGCCCACTGGGGCAGTGGAGTGGAACCATACTGGTCCCAGTGAGGTCCTGGCTCTCCTGGAGCTGGGGCTGGGAAGCCCGTGGGCTGCCTCGGGCAGGAGGAGCTCAGGGTGCCTGCTCTTCCCACAGGGAGCCCATCTCTCTGGATTACTACAACTGTGCCAGGTTCTTCTCCCCACCCAACGGTAAGGTCTCCATGTGAGCATGACGAGTATCCTCTCCAGCCCCCAGCCTGGCTGCCCCACGGCCCCAGGGAGCCCACAGGATGTTTCTTGTTTGGCTCTGTGTGTTATTGCTGCACAGCCTGAAGCAAACATGGGTCCTAGAGACACGTTGGGAAAGGGGTGCAAGCAGAGCTGTGGGGCTTGAGGGGTTTCCAAACCCAAACCAGTCCATCCGTTGGCTGGACGCCCCAAATGCATCCGTGGCCCTGATTTTTGTACAAAACACTTTGTGCTCACTCCATTTCACCCCTGGGCAGCAGTGAGTTAGGTTTTGAGGTTAGCAATATAGGGCTTCACGTGGTTCAGCTGCTCATGGGCTCATCCAGAGCTGAGATCACCAGCAATACAACAAAAACCTTCATGGGCTGGGTTTTTAATTCTTCTAAGCAGACTTTGGTTCTAGGTGCTGATAGATTTGCCTACTGGGCTCAGACAGATGTTGTGCTTGGACTGGGGCTCAGTTCCTTCCCAGAAACTGGGAATGAGCCCCAGAAGGCACCACAATCACAAACTTAATGTGATGGTGCTCCCATGGGCAGCCATCAGAGGGTTGGACTGTGCTGGGGATGCCCCTTCCCGGGGCCAGCCCCCAGGCTGTCACCAAGACCAAGCATTTTTTATCTCAGGTATGTTTTGCTGGGGGAAACAGCCCTCTCCTGCTGGTGCTGAGCATCCCCCTGGGTCACCTACACTTATGCTTTTTTTCCCCCCCTCTTTCTTCTTCTGTTGGGTTGATGATTGGACCTAATGATCTTGGAGGTCTTTTCTAGCTTTAATGATTCTATGATTCTCTGCCAGAGAAAGAGGAGGATTCCCATTCCTACCAAAACGTCTTCATTGGAGGGTCTCATGGCTCTGCCCCGGGTACGTGTGTTGCTGTTATGGCTCATGTGTGTTGTCCAAAGGTGTCTGGAAGCACAGAGAGGGATGGTGACTTGCTCAGCCCAGGGAAAACACCCCTGTCCACAGGCTCAGCTCCTCCTGTCACCTCTGGGCCTATGGAGCTGGGGTGAAGGGGCTGCTGCAGGCACAGAGCAGATCTGGAGAGTTTTCCAGCCAAGAGCTCACCTCTGAGCTGATCCCTTTGAACAGGAGATGTCTGCAGCAGTTCAGGAGCTTTGGGGTCTGCATTGCTTCTCTAGGTCTTTCAGTGCTGTTCCAGCCAGGACTGATGGTGGTTCTAGCCCCCAGCTCAGGTTTCTCACTACATCCAGCCCAAGAAGGCTGCAGCCAGTGAGCTGCTGGAGCAGGATGTTGGATCACAGCATCTGCTTAAGGGCTTCCAGCCTCACTCTGGGATGTCACAACCAAAATAGGAAGTGAAGTTGGTTTCCTTCAGCGAATTCCCCCAGTGCTTTCTGCAGTGCTGGAGCTCCTGCCTGGAGGAGGCAGGGGCAGTGGGGGCTGTGCTGATGCCCATCCCTGCCCGCAGAGACCCAGGCAGGCGGTGGGGCGGGGCCATCAGACCTGCAGCAGGACAGCAGCTGCCCCGCTGGAAACTGGGGGCGTGTCGGGGCGCGGGGGCAGGGGGGAGGTTTCACAAAGGGCCCTTTTCAGTCCGCTGGCTGCTCAGCATCATCCTGTCCAAACTCCTAGTGACAGATGACGCCGCAGACTACGAGAACAGCGCGGACACGTGCCGGTGGAAAGCCCGGCGTGCGGGAGGTACGTGCTCAGCAGTGGGTTACCACCTAGAGATGGGGCTCGTGGGCAGGGTGCCCGTCCCACTCGGCCAGTCTAGACCATGCTTAGGCCAGTGCAGCCATCACCTCTGCCTTATTTCTCCCCCAATCATCTCTGATAACTGCCTAAGGCAACATGCAGATTGCTGCACGTGCTGGTAATCCAGTGCTGCCCTGGTGGGACGAGGTGTTTGGAGCACTCAGAAGGCCTTGGAGTGTGGGTGGCTGTGCTTGAGCCCTGCCCACGGGATGCTGCAGAAGGGTGCTGCTCTTCACCTCTTATGTCCTCTTGTGTTTTGAGGTTGCCCTGGTGCAAGCTCAGCCTTGTCACCCCCTCTGACCAAGCACCGTGCAGCACACCCGCCCAGGGGGTCAGCCCAACCCCCCTGCAGCAATGGGGGGGTCAACATTTCTTCATGAAAATTTTAAAGAAAAAAATGTCTTAAATTTTCCAGATTTTTTAAGCTAGCCTTTAAAGAGCAGCTTCACGTGTGGCTTCCTGTGAAGCACAGTCTGGCCTGGGAGGTAGTGGCCAGTGTACACGTGTGTTTTAGAGCTTTCTCTCTGGTGTGGGAGCTGCTGATGCAAACTGATTCCTGTGCCCGTTTGTGCTCTCTCTAGATGAACTCCAAGCCCATCTTTTGCCTCTCTAAAGCTGTCCCCACTCGCAGGGAGTTTGCAATTTTGCTGTGACCCTTATGAAGCCTCTTCAAGGAGACCTTGACACTGTGGTCTGAGGTTTCTTAGCCCAGGCACAAAAACTGTCAGCCCCAAAGGCTAAATATTAGCAGGAGGCACAGCGTGTTGGTGGTGTGTACGTGGTTTTTAGGTCAGCCCCTTCCCTGATCAGTGCTTCCTATCCTCTCTCACAGCTCTGCAGGCTGAGAGCCCGGATGATGAGCCAGACTATGTCAACACAGCCCCTGTGTAAGGCCCTGCCCCTCTGCCCAAGCAAAGGTAAAAGAGAGCACGTGGTCGATGTGTTTATTTAGGAGTGGGAGGGTTGGGTTTGTGCCCAAAAGAGCTCGGCTGGAGCTTTGCCCCTTGCTGGCAGGAGCGGGCAGTGCCCAGCAGTGCAGGGAGCAGGAGCAGCCTGGTCCCTTCTGTGCAACCTCTCTGCTAGTGCAGACCATGGAGACAAATCCATCCAAGGCCGTGTCCCAGCACTGCCCTCTTCCAGCAGGGACTTCAAACCGCTTCAGAACTGCTCCGTGGTGCAGATGGGACCCCCAGAGCCCCCCCCCTGGGCTGGGCAGCTCCCAGACTGAGCAGCATGAAAGATTCCCTGGGCTTTGCTGAGCCCTGCCTGCTCTGCCACCACCACACAGCCTGGCCTGTTATCAGCAGAAACATGATGCTGATGATAAAGAATTACTCAAGGCAGTTTGAAGTAAAAAAAAAACCCCTCTGTGGAGAGCTGCAGGGAGATTGCACGGCACCCAGTGAGCGGGTGACACGACAGTGCTGCATGGCAGGAAAGCAGCCCCAGACACACTGAACACAACAACGGGTTCCACGTTGGCTGTTGTGGCTCCAGACAGGCTCCTGGAGACCTTGTGGAGCTTCTTCTCAGCAGACAAGTGTGTGTGGGTAGAGGGGCCCAGTGCACAGGTCTGTGGTGTCTCTGCATGCTGGTTGGAGCGTGGAGAACTGAGCACCCAGCTCCAGCTGGACTGGGACCAGTATCACACTCGTTGTTGGGGCTCTACTCCCTGAGCACCTCCAGAGACGTGCTGGGATAGTCCTTATGCCACATGCAGCAGCTCCAGTTACAGGGGTTTATATTCCCCAAACTGTGGGCGTTGTTGGGGCTCTACTCCCTGAGCACCTGTAGAGACGTGCTGGGATCATCCTTATGCCACATGTTGGCAGCTCTAGTTACAGGGGTTTATATTCCCCGAACTGTGGGCACCGGCAGCGAGCAGACCCCCAAAAATGGATCTTTTTGAAGCTGTTGCAAAGTATTTAAGATTTGTCCCCACCACGCAAACCACAGTCCCCTTATTGTCCATGTTTCAGCATTTGCTTTGAGCTCCAGCAGCCCACCCCAGCAGCACTGGCTCTGACAAAGGCTGTGCTGGAGGGGAAGCTGCACCAAAGGTTGTGCTTTTTGGTCAGGGATTTTGTGTGTGTCACCCGTGGCACACAGATCACTCCCCAGCAGTGGTCTGGCTGGGAGCCAACACAGCTCAGGTGTCTCTTCACCTGCCCACGAGCTCTTATTGCTCCCCAAGGTCCAAAACCAGCCTGGACACAGGAGCCTTGGCCTGCTGCAGCAGTACCTCACTGCCAGGCACCGAGCTATGGCAAACCAAGAGAATATCACCAAAATGGACTATTTCAGATGGGGTCGCAGAGAAACTTGTGGCTTTGAGAAGAAACTTCTTTTCAGAAGGTGTTTATGGAATATCCAAGCATCGTGTTGGCTAAGCATCTGGAGGAAGGAAGCTGAATTATCCATGAAAAGTGCTCTAAGGATAACTTTAAGGAATTCTGTGTTTATTCCTCTTCCAAAGAGAAATCTGGAGGAGGAGGGGGTGACAGTTCTGTGCTAGTGACAGCATGGCCTGGCTTTTTGCTCTGCTGGGCACACCAGACTGCTCACAGTTTGCTGTCTGTAGCAGGGAGGGTGCCCACCTCCTTCCAAGCTGAGAGAGGAACAATCAGGGATGACAGATGCCCAAAACATTCAGCAAAGCTGATGTAACAACTGCATGTGGTTTGGTGGAAAGCAAAGAATCAAAGTGGCACTGGGGCTGCCATAAATCCACTTCCCAAAGTGATGGCTGGTGCTGGGGAGATAGAAGAGGGAGGAATAGCTGGCCTGCAAGGCACTGGTGATAAAGATTTTCTGGGAAAATCTCCAGTTTTAAGCCCCAGCAAAATGCTCTTGTGGCTGTATGTGTAAATAAATTCTGGCAGCTTGTAAGTAAATTAAAGTTGCCAATGCACTTTTTGTCATTTTAATGAGGACTCTATTACAGCCTTTGCTAGCAGAGTAATGCTATAAAATCTCCATGTCCAGCCAGGAAATGCCAGCAGAAGTTCTCCACTAAGGGCAGGTGAATTCAGAAGTGGGCTCCTGGCAGCTCTGTGCCCTCTGCTCTGCTCAGGGATCGCTGTCTGGGACCATTGCTGGGGCTTCTGCTTCGATGCAGATGTCTTGGAGTGTGCCTCACTACTGGTCCCCAGAGAGAAAATGTAGCAGGCAGCAGAGTTAGGAAGTTGAAAGCAGGGATTACAAGTCAGCAGACTCACTATCTTTCCCTCTCTTCTTTCAAGCATACTACCTAAAGTCTGCAGAAATCCTTTGCTGAGCTGCAGGAGCACACCCAGCAAGCACGAGCAGAGGGAGAAGGGAGACTTCAGTCCCTCAGTGGAATCACTTCTCCAAACTGTGCCCACAATCACGCAGAAGGGGTGCTGCTGGGAGGAAGAAATGCTCTCCTTGAAGTCCCCCAGAAGCCCGACTGCAAACCTGCCCCTGGAGAAAGCACTCTGGCCAGCAGTGGCCACGGGCGAGCCAAGAGCTCGTTATCCCATCTCCCTTCCCCACACGTCTCCTCGAGGGAGGCTGGCCAGGCTCTGCAGTGTGTTCTCCTGTCAAGCACAAAACTAATCCTTAAACTGCTGAGCAGCAATGCAGCCAGCTGCTTCATCTGCCAGCGTGACTCACGTGTGATGCTATGAAGACGTGGGGATTGGGTTCTGGTTTTGGTCCTGTGCTCTCCCACAGAAGTGGTTTCCTCTAAGAGGAACTGGCAAGGCAGAGGTTGCTTTCACAACACCAGTGGTTCTCTGGAACTAGAGGAGATACCAACCTGTTCACGAAAGAGGATTAAATCCCCACTTGATCCATGGCTTGCAATTCACAGCATCTGGCTACAACCATCCTCCTTGGGTTTCTGTGGCCCTTCTGTAACGACACGAGGAGCCTGCAGCACCTGAGAAGGTCCAAAGCAGAGCTGCCAGCCTCAGAAGCCCCACCACTCTTCCTGTATTTCAGCCCTGCAACGTTGCCCTTGTCTCTTGAGCCCTGATGCACAGATTTGGCACCGTCCTACCACTTATTTATTAAAATTGGAAAGCAGCCAGAGAAGCTGTGGTGGTTTGTTATGGCTTGGTATGATCCAGACGTTGTCTGCGTGGCTGGGTGAGGCAGAGGGAGGTGGGAGCACGTGAGATGGTGCAGGGTGGCATGTGGGATCTGGTGGGGAGGAAGTGTACCTCCTTCAAGCCCTCTTCCTTAAAATGGGTACAGAGAACTCTGCTTCAGGAAGGGACCCAGCCCACCCTCACGTCTCCAGGACGGGTGAGAGTGGGCAGAAAGGTGGAGCTGAGGGTGAGTGAGCCCTGGAGCAGGAGAAGGGGATGTCAGGTGCTTCCTGCTGCAGATGACTGCGTTGTATTTTTAGCAGAATTGCTGAGCCTGTGGGGGCCCACCGGTCGTGTGGCTGAACAGTGGGTGGTTTGCTGTTTGGTTTAGGAGATTTACTTGTAACCCCTACAAATGTGTTTGTTCCTGCTTCCATAAGGCTTTTAGAAGGGAGAAAATCCAGCATGCTTGAGGGACGTACACATGCACAGAGCTCCAGTTGCTTTCTCCTCGCCCCAGCTCCTCCCAGCCCGGCTTCCACTCACACCCTCGGGGTTCCTGCTGTTAAATGCTCTGCAAAAGGTTTGTGTGGGTGGGTGACACTGATGTCCTGGGGAGCCTGAAGCAGTGATGGCCACAGCCTGGCTGGCTCTGCACAGGCAAGGAGATGCCTTCATTCCTGAAATGGCCAGGACGTTGGCATCCTTACCCTTGGTGACTCATTCAGCACCTGAAGAAGCTCCAGTAGCTCCAGTTTCCATGAAGTGCTGCAGACTGGGTTTTTTTTGTGGATGGAAGGGTGAGCTGTGTTCAGTGATGTGCTGTGATGTCACACCTAGTGGTGATTCACCTCTTCATGGGAGGGAGCCATTAAATGACTGGGAGATTAGCAGCAGTAAAAGATCCCTGGCACACAGTAATAAATCCAGTTAGAGAGCTCCCAGAAAGTTCCAGCTGTGCCAAAACACAAGATTTACAGCTCTCCTCGCTGAGCAGGGAGGCAGATTAGACCAATTACATTTTCCTGTCCTAAGGCTCCTCCACTGCCAGCCTCTCAGTTTGGAAGCTGTGGAGCTGAAGCAGGCAGGGCAGGAGCTGGACACAGAATATCCTCCTGCCTCTTGGTGGGAGCCTGAGCAAATCCTCCCCGTGCAGTGCTCCAGCTGCACTGAGGGGTAAATCTGCTCTTGGCTTTCTAATGCTCCTCAAGGGCTTCTCAGCCAGTGATCTCATTATGCTGGAAGGTGTCCAGGGGCTGCTCCAGGAACTTCCATCACTGTTAGGACAGACTGGTTCTGAGAGGCCTTGTGGGGGCCGAGTGTGTGATGTACTGGCCTTTCAGGACTTGTTTTGAGGTGTGTGAGGATTGCTGGTGCTCAACCCAAATTGCCCAACCCTGTGTTGTCTGAATGTAATGCAAGGAGAAATGACACCTCCCCTGGGTCCACAGCTCTCTCCCCTCACATCAGGTAGGCAGCCAAGTGAGCAATTTGCTTCCTGTTTTCAATTTCAGACAGAGCAGAAGAGCAGTTTTGGCACTGGCTCTCAGGTGGAGCTGGGGAGCTCTGCCCTGAGAAAGGGTGAGCAACCTCCTCTGGTAGAAACAGCTGTGTTGGTGGCCTCTCAGCATGACACAACTCCTCTTCCCAGGAAGGGTGAGCATGGTTGTGTCCCCCAGTGCCCAGCAGACAGTTGGCTCCAAACTAAGCAGGAAAGCAGCCACTGAATTCAGTGAGGAGAAGCCCACTCAGACCAGGCAGGGACAGACCTGTGACCTCTGTGTTTCTCCTCTTCCACTGGCACCAAGGCAGCGACTCTCAGGATGCCCAGGTAGGTCCCTCCAGGGAGTAAGGACCACCCCCAGCCCTACGAGCCCCCCCAACACCATGTTGCAGTTTTGGGGGACAAAAGCTGGGAGGTAGTTTCTGTAGAGAACTCAGCAGCTTAAGCCCCTTGATACTGATTTATCAGTTGCATATAAACAAGAGCTGGCAATGGAATACTTGGGGTATAAACATGTAGATGTGGTACTTCAGGACATGGTTTAGTGGCCATGGGAGTGTTGGGTTGATGGTTGGGTTTGAGGACCTTCAAGTTTTTTTCTAGACTTAATGATTCTATGATGAGCCCAAACAGAAAAGAGAACTCAAGTGCATCCCAGAATTTGGTAAATTTTTACAAAGAAATATCCAAACTAGCCAGCATCATTAAGAAACATGTAGGATTTCTCTTGTGTGTTTGGTCCAAACCTCTTCCTTACCCACAGCACAAGCACCACCCAGCATGGCACTGCTCTGCATGCCTTAATTAGAACTTCATTAAACTCTTTAATCTGTGGAAAACCTTCTCCCTCCTGGTGAGCCCACCACTCCTGGCCAGGCTTGAGGCGTCAGCACCATCTGATTTTAGTTTCTCCTGCTGTGAGGTCTCAGTGCCAGTGACACGGGTGGTTGTCACATGCACTGCACAGACCCTGTTGCTCTGGGCTGTCACAGTCCCCTCATCTACCTTGCCTCTACAACAGGGAAGAGTTCTTGGGCCAAAGTACATTCTAAAGCTTTATTGGGCTAAAAAAAGTACAAAACATTTTTACAAGAGGACCAGGCTACTTTCCTGCAATGGGGCAAAGCCAAGGCAGAAGTGGGGAGCTGCTGTGCAGGACGTGGGCTTCAGCTGGGTGCCACCCTAACTCCCCACGGGGGCTGCTGTCTTCTGGCACAGCCTGGCCAGCAGTCCAGCCATCTGCAGGAGTGAGTTCACACCTTCTGCTATCTTCATGTGAGTGTACCCAATTTCCTGGGGACAAGGACATTGTCAGCTCTTCCCTTTTCTCCCCCAGCCTGTGTGCAGCATGACCAACAACCAGAGAGAATGTACCCCTTACTGCCAGGAGAGCAGCCTCAGCCACTCAAACTTAAGGGCAGCTTCTCATGTAGACCTTTTTAGGCCTCTCAAGTAGAATGCTTCTTTTTTTTCCCCTCTTTTTTTTAAATCAAAGCCTGCATGTCCCCACTTCCTCTGTGGAAGGAGCAAGTTGTATTGGAGGGCAGGCTGAACTCTGAGGAGTGGTTCTGTTACACCCATTTACCACTTGTCAGCTGGCTGTTAATATAATTCAGTATTTTGCTCTCTGTTGGACTAGGATCAAGCATGCAATGAAGGAAATTCTCAAGGAGTTAGTTGAGGCTTTGATGCAAACACTAAATTCAGCCAGCATCATGTTTGCTGTTAATTCTGGCTGATCACTGAGAGGCAATTCTGTGGGTGGTCAGACTTTGAACTTGACAAGACCACTCACTCCTACTACAAATTGATGATGCAGAGCAGGAAAGCAAGAAGGAATAAGTTAAGAAATACTTCTGTTGTGCTAACATAGCAAATAAACAGGAAACCCTGAGGCTGCCCTTCTATCAGGGATCACATCCTGCTCTCCAAAAGGACCCCACCAGGAATGGGGTTAGTACTAACCTTGATAAATTCCAGTTTCAGATATTCTGGCATGTGAAAGGTTTTACACACACGGAAGATGTTGCCAATCACATCTTCTGGAGAGTATCCAAGTCGCCAGAGGTGGGCAAGAATCTGCAGGCAAAAATCATCCCTGATTTATCTGCAAACCTTATCAGGTGAGACAAGTATATTCCCTTTTGGAACAGCTGTGTGTAGCTACTGGAACTGCATGTACTGTTTATCAAATGGTTTAACCTCAAGTGTTCAGCTAGTAATTTCAATGCAACTTGGCTTTTTTTTTTTCCTTGTTGGCTTATTCATCTGAACAAACCCTGACATAAAAAGGATTTAAGTCATTAATTCATCTGCTCGTTATAGCCCTTATCTTAAAAAACCCCAACTCTTAATTCTTAAAAAAATTATTTAAAAAAACCCCAAAAATTCTGTCTAAAGAAAGTGCCTGTCTGTACAGATGCTCGTTATAGCCCTTATCTTAAAAAAAAACAACTCTTAATTCTTAAAAAAATTCTTTAAAAAAAACCCAAAAATTCTGTCTAGAGAAAGTGCCTGTCTATACAGGCATCACACATGAAAACCAACCTTGTATGCTTCATCAATATTTGCATTTACACAGTGTTGTATCATTTCTTTCACCAGCAGAGGATGAGGCTCATCACAGACCTGTATCAACGAGAAATATTACGTTTTAAAATATTAAAAGATGCTGCATTAAACCCCTGCCTGGTATTTTCACCAAGCTTCTATATAATTCAGTACTGAGGGAAGCACATTCTAGAATACAGATTAAATTTTGAATAATCTGACTAATCCTGCCACGGCAGACTCTGGAATGAGGACACCCAAGTGATAGATTCAGAGATACCACTGTGAAATTTCCCAGCAGTTACATGATCCCTGGGCTTTGAGAGAGCTGGCAAGCTGCAAAGTCTGAGCCATGCCATGAGGAACTTGCCAGCACTCTCTCCCTTTCCAAAAGACACTTTTTTAGAGCCTAGTGCTGTGATTGCTACACGCACACTGATAAAGCACCTTCAAAAAAAAACCCACTTCTTTACATTCTTACTAACCTTAAAGACATTTTCACTGTTTATAAAGCCAAATCCAGAATAAGTGGACTGTAAGTTGTTTAATGCCTGTGAAAGAAAAAACAAGACTGCATTTGTTTTGTTTTTCATTTGTTTCTCTACTCCTCACTCCCCTCCTCGGGATGAAACTCACTTTACAGAAAACGACACCAAATAAGCAGTTGTCAATTAAGCAACCATAAACATGTGAAGGGTTGGTTTCCTTCCACAAATTTGGTATCCAGTTCCCACCAATTCACTTTTAAGGAGCAGCTCAACCTTAAAACCTCACCAAACCAAACCATTTAGTTACCCTTGTGCCACAGTCACATCCCCTTTGCGTTACCTCTCCAAAGACAAAACCCCGAGAGTTCAAAGATTTTTTCTTTTCCTCTTTAAACAGAAGTCTTTGTTCCATTGTCTTTGTTTTTACCTGTCTCATATCTCCTTGGGCTGTGAAGATAATGGCTTCCAGCCCATCGTCTGTGTATGGCACATCCTCTTTCTCAACAATGGTCAGGAGCCTGGCCAGGATCTGGGAGTCGGTCAGCTTGGTGTAACGCAGCACGGCATTTTCACTGTTTATAAAGCCAAATCCAGAATAAGTGGACTGTAAGTTGTTTAATGCCTGTGAAAGAAAAAAACAAGACTGCATTTGTTTTGTTTTTCATTTGTTTCTCTACTCCTCACTCCCCTCCTCGGGATGAAACTCACTTTACAGAAAACGACACCAAATAAGCAGTTGTCAATTAAGCAACCATAAACATGTGAAGGGTTGGTTTCCTTCCACAAATTTGGTATCCAGTTCCCACCAATTCACTTTTAAAGAGCAGCTCAACCTTAAAACCTCACCAAACCAAACCATTTAGTTACCCTTGTGCCACAGTCACATCCCCTTTGCGTTACCCCTCCAAAGATAAAACCCCGAGAGCCACAATTCAAAGATTTTTTCTTTTCCTCTTTAAACAGAAGTCTTTGTTCCATTGTCTTTGTTTTTACCTGTCTCATATCTCCTTGGGCTGTGAAGATAATGGCTTCCAGCCCATCGTCTGTGTATGGCACATCCTCTTTCTCAACAATGGTCAGGAGCCTGGCCAGGATCTGGGAGTCGGTCAGCTTGGTGTAACGCAGCACGGCGCAGCGGGACTGGATGGGCTCTGAGGACACACACGTGTTACCAGCACTTCCCCCTCGCCTCAAAGACATACCACTTGCTTCCAGCTTGGAAGGAGGGATCTCAGCCTCCAGTTTTTCATTTGTCTTCCTTTAAGGAAGAAGATGTCAGCTCCAGACAGAAGACAGCAGCTCCTTAAGCTTCTGCAGTTGTTCCAGCCCTTCCCTCGAGCCCAAATGTCACACTTGAGTTTTCCCAGACATGTGAAACTGTGTAAGAAACTTGGCTGCTTCTGTTCACCTGGTTTCCTGAACGTGTGTGTTTATCATCACTGAACAAGAACAGTCTAAAGGTCTGCAGTGTGTTAGCCTGTAGGCAAACTTTGATGTTTCAGAAAGCAAGACAGCACAAGGGGCTCGACACACATTAAAAACCACACCAGACATCTTAAACTGCAGCAGCTGGATGGAGATTAAGCCCAAAGCAGGAGAAATCTGCTTCTGCAGTCATGCAGAGCACTATCCCTCCAAACCAGCTGTCCAGAGGGGCCACCAGCTACACAAACATACTCATCATTTAAGAGCTGGATGTACAAGTGGTTTGCTTGCTCAGAAACACCACGGTTTCTTGGAAGGAGCAGGGCTGAGGTATTTCTGAAGCCTGCCTTGGAAGTTAGCCAAAGGCAAGGAGAATTTGTGACAAAACCTCCCAGGGGCTAGCAGCAGGTTACCTATGATTTTGTCAGAGGCATTGCAGGCCAGTGCAAAGCGTGTTGTTTTGGAATAGATCTCCATTGTCCTCCTCAGGGCTTGCTGGGCTCCATCTGTCATGCTGGGGGAGAAAACAGGGCAGGTTTTGCATTTCACTGCCTTACAGGTGCAGGCTGTTTTTATGCAAGCCTCAGAGTTTAGTGGTATTAAACAGTGCTTTGTAAGTTACTTGATATTCTGGCTTGTTCAATTGAGCAGCTTTCTTCTAGTTGTGTGGACAGGTCACCCTGCAATGCAGGTAGGCACTGAGGCCTCTATAAAACTAACCTGCAAAACCAAATCATTAATGTTCTGAAGAATACTGCTAGGAATGCTACAACCTATGCACAGATGGAGGATAATGTCCCTTTTTCACCCAATAAAATTGTCTGCATAAGCCAGACTCTTTTCCAAGGAAAAGAGCCAGTCAGCTGGAAGATGCTTGTTCATATCCAGCTAAATCACAAAGTGTTCCACTCAACATTCAGCAACGATCTGCTTGGGAGGAGTGCTCTCCCAAGAACACTGTTCCACACAGACTTATTTCCCAACACATTATTTTGGACAGCCTGATAGAAACATCTGAGACTGTCCAGGAGAGCAGCTCTGGAGGCAGGCCAGGTGCCAGAGGTTTCACACAGCATACCTGTCTGCTTCATCAAGGATGATGATTTTATGCCGGCCCTTTGGAAGCGTGACCTTTTGCTGGGCAAACATTTTGATTTTGTTCCTCACCACATCAATGCCCCTGGAACAATAACACAAATGATTCATGAGCAGCTGGGTGAAATGAGGGGAGAGATTTCATTCAGCAGTGCCAGTGGCTCCTGAGCTCCCTGTTCTCCTGCTGTTTGTTCCTGCCCCTTCAGCTGTGCCAGGATCACTGCTGTGGAACCCTGTTGGGCGCCAGACTGCCCAGCTGATCCAGACTTCAACAGCAATACTCCTCATTTTTAGCCCAAAATGGGCTAATTTCTATCACTTCTCTTTTTTATTCTTAAGCATTGAAGAGTTCCATTATAAACAACTTGTTCACTTTTCATTCTTAGGAGGATCTTCATGAATACAGGAAGCTTAACTCTTAAAAATAAATGAAAAGAAAAAGTACCATTATGGATTCTACACTCTACCTGGTGCTATTTTTGTGCCTGAAATTATCTATCAAGTGATAATATCTATGCTGATAGGTGTACAGTAAAGATTGCCTAACTTTTAGTTGGAAAAAATAAAGTAGTTTGTACTTAAAATTAGTCTTAGAGGCTTCATTACAGCATTAAGCCTGAGTTGAATTAAAAATAAAAAAGGGTATTTGATGCTTCATATAGATTTGCTAAGCTTTATTCATTCTCACCTGTCATTTGAGGCATTCAGCTCCAAAACAGCATCCTTCAAGGCAGGACCAAGCAGAGCACGAGCCAAGCAGAGGATACTGGTGGTTTTACCTGTTCCTGGGGGACCCTAAAGATGCAGAAAGCAACAACTGCTGGTAAATTTAATGTCATTTTCTACACTGTACTCTCTACAACGCTTCCTGGTCATGAAAACTACATTTCAGAAGCCAGAAGCAACAGTGAAATACAGTGCAACACAGCCATACTTACAGCAATTATAATATTTGGTACGTTCCCCTCTTTTGCAAAGACCTAAGAAAGAATATACATTTTAAAAATTACATAAAGTAGTGGGAACAAATAGCTTCCAATTGTTTTAATCATGAGAAACAGAGCTGCAATCTTTTCTTCCCTCCTGCTTTTGTTTTTTTGAACCTTGTTGCTTTTGTGGTTTGGTTTGTTTTTTTTTAATATTGAACTGTTAGAAGTCATTCCCTAGAATAACATGAAAAACTTCAAAGCACTTAATCCCACAGGTCTTTAGTCCTCCTGCCCTTCCTTTGCACCTGGTGTGTGTTTACTAACATAGACTTTCTATTAGCAAATATTGTGCTCCCAAACCAATTTGTCAAGAAAAATATTTTTCTTCCTGAAAAAAATGTTACAATTACCTTTCTTTCTGTTGTTGTGTAATTTATTATTCCTTGTAACAATATTATTCTAACAGCTATGAATTTCCTAAATTGTATCAAAACAAGGCTGATTTAAACATCCCAATTCTAGAAACCATTATTTCCTTAGAAAACTACTCAAACATGTCCTAAAATAAGTAATTTCCCCAAGTATGTCAGAAAGGTTTTTTCCACATACTTAAGTATGGAGGTAAAAATACAAAAGTGCTTTTATTGTTCTGCAGATCTATGCAGAATTGGTTTTTGAGCTAACCCCTAAAAAAAATAAGACAGCTACACACCTCCAGCCTGCTCACTGTATCTTCATTTCCAACTATTTCACATAGTTTCACGGGTCTGTATTTTTCCACCCTGTAAAAGCAAAACCCCCACACACTTCAGCACATCCCATGAAACGTTAATAGCGCTTTATACCGACAGAAAAGCAGGATTATGTCATGCCGGCACGGGATAAAGATGAATTGATGTGTCTTTAGGGCAAAGGCCGCAGGATCCTCCCCCGCTAAGCACAACATTCCACCGCACTAATCCCTGCGCGCTCGTTTCGCTGCCGTGAGTATAAAAGCGGTGAAAGGACGGAAGAAACGCCCGGCGCCAGGCTGCCATGGCGGGGCTGAGGGCAGAGGCCGCGCTCCGATGGCTCCCACAGGGCACAGCTGGCTCAGCGTGCACCCGACAGGCTCCCGGGGCCGTGACTGGGGCAGGCGGAGCCCTCAGGCCGCCC